ACTTCCAGGATGGGCCGTGTATCTGCGGGCGTGCCACAGGGCAGCGTACTGGGCCCTATTCTGTACACTATCTTCTCCTCGGATATGCCACTGCCCTCCCAGGAGCATACGAATCGGATCGGCCTGCCACAAGAGGAAATGTTGCTGTCCACTTTTGCTGATGATACGGTCATCATGAGTGCAGCTGATTTGCCGGAAATGGCTGTTAGAGCCAATGAGAGGTACTTGCAACATTTCGAAAAATGGACTAAAAAATGGGCCATTAATCTTAATGCCAATAAGACAGGCCATGTCCTATTCACTCTAAGGCAAGTAAATCGGAGAGATAGACAAGTAACTCCTACAGTCTTTGGCAAAGCGATCCCATGCAAAAGCTCACACACATACTTGGGCATAATTCTGGACAGGAAACTCAACATGAAACAACATGTGGTGAGACTTAGGGCAAAGATCAGAACGAGGGCAGCAAAACTGGATTGGCTGATTGGCCGAGACAGCTTGCTGGCCAAGAGCTGCAAAGCTGTACTTATTAAACAACTAATTATGCCATTGTGGCAATACGGCCTGCCTATTTGGGGTGCCCTCACAACCGAATCGCAAATCAGACGTATCCAGGGCACACAAAATAAAATAATAAGAAGAGCGCTGCGAGTGCCCTGGCTCACACGCAACGTCACTACACATCTGAAATATGGATTCAAAACAGTTGAAGAGGTTTTTGAACAGGCAAGCAGTCGCCTCGCCAATTCCTTGGCTATCCACTGCAACCCCGAAGCACGAGGCCTAATAGAGAATCCATACGAGCCGCAGCGACTCCTCAGATCGAGATATATGACACAGCTGCAAAACCATATACTCCCACTGCAAGCACTAGGCACCCAGGCTACGCAAATTACCACTAATGGCAGACGACCAGTCGAGCAAGAAATGACCTCCCTACCTACACTGCTTCGTCTTGAAGCGGAAGAGCTGCAACGACAAGAGGCGGACAGGCAGGTAAACGAGCGTGCGGGGTGGCTATATGAGCTATTAACTGGCCAGCCACCAAGCAGACTATGTGAATCACTAATAAACAGCTACAGGAGAGACTATAGAGACGGGCGTATTACAAGAGCGGCGGCAGTGGCACGAGTGCAACGTCAACCACTGGCCATTAAGAAAA